ATTACTTACTATATTATAAGAAGGAGTATATTATTATTTAATCTCTAAAATAGTTATATAAAAGGTAAAGTTAACGTTATTATTTAGTAATTATAGCTATATACCTTTTATAATCTTCTTTATAACTATAGTATTAACCTAGCTTAATAATAGGTTATTTACCTTTTACTATTTATATATCTTTAGCTTAGTAAAGATAAATTACTTATAGTAATAATCTATTCTTACTTTATTACTTTATTATTAATAGTAAGCACTACTAGCTAAATAGGCTCTTAGCCTTACTACCTTACTTACTAGCTAACTAAGAGGTTATTCTAGCTTATAAAGTTAGCTTTATATTACCTTTAGTGTTTAGTGTTTTACTTTATAATATATTTAGCTAGTAAAGGTGCTCCTAGGTGCTTAAGGAGCTCTCTTTACTATCTAGATTAATAAATTACTAGACTTTACGTTAAGTAGTATAGAAGTAAAGCTTTATATACTATAAGAACTAATCTTTATATATAGTTAAAAGGCTATAAAGATAAGTATTAGTTAGTAAGCTTACTGTTACTTCTAAAGTATTATAGGTATAAATAAATTTAAGAAAAAGTATTAGTTTTAAAAAAGTATTTCTAAGTATATACTACTTTATAATAGTAGGGTTATTATTACTTATAAATTAAGTTAAAGCTAGGCTTATAACTATTATTAAGTAGTATATTTAAGGGTAATTTATATAGTTAAAAGTAGCTTATTTCTTTTATCTATAGTGTTATAATCTATGTTCCTTAAATATTGCCTTGCTTAGTAGATTCTACTATAAGTATCTATATTTAGGAGCAAAGGTTAGATTAATAAGCAACGTTGTTCTAAAAGTAGTATTAGTTAGTAATATCCTATATAATATATTAGTATAATAGTGTCTACTAATAATAGTAAAGCCTTTTAGCTAGTTAAAGTAATAGATCTTTAATTAATTATCTACTATTGCCTAAAGAGTAGAAGGAATCTAGAAGAGGGGGTCTAGCTAGATAGGCAATATATAGAGGGGCTATAACTAGTGTCCTAGTTGTTCTAGTTCTAGATATCCTAGCAGGATATCTACCTAGATTTACCTAGATATTAAGGATACTAATTATTTTAACACTAGTAACTTTCTCTTATAAACTTAACCTCTGCCTATATATCTATTTAATTATCTAACTATCTAATAATCTAACTATCTAATAGCCTTTTATTTAACTATTTAATTACTTTTTATTTAACTACCTGTTAGTCTAATAGTGTATTAATAAGTAGGGCTAGGTTAACTAGGTAGAAATAGGGGTAAATATATAACTTTCTTACTATTTTTCTTAGTATATAAATTAAGGGGTTTTTTATAGTTAAGAGTGCTCCTCTAAAGGTAATAGAGCTTATATAGTTATAGATATAAATTAATAGGCTTTTTACTAGTTAAAGGGACTAGTTATAGATCTATTAATTAATCTATTAATAGGTAATTAGTATAAACTATTATAGTAAGGGTATTTATAGAGGCATTTTTTAGTTCTTCCCTACTCTAGGCGTATAAGGGTATTTATAGAGGCGTTTTTTAGTCCTTACCTACTCTAGGCGTATAAATAGTTAACTAGTAATAGTTACCTCTTCTATAAGTAACCTTGCTAATCTATAGTTAATTCTACTATAATAGCTAGCTAGACTATTATAGTAGAACTAAACACTAATCAGTGTTAGTATAACAGGTGGTCTACTAATAACAGCAAAGCCTTCTAGCTAGTTAAAGCAATAGATCTTTAATTAATTATTACTATTGCCTAAAGAGTAAAAGGAATCTAGAAGAGGGGGTCTAGCTAAATAGGCAATATATATAGGGGCTATAACTAGTGTCCTAGTTATTCTAGTTCTAGATATCCTAGTAGGATATCTGCCTAGATCTACCTAGATATTAAGGATGCTAATTGTTCTAAGATATATATATACCTAGAAGTTTATTATTATAAATACTTTACTATAGACCTACTACTAGTAGTATATTTTCTTACTTTCTTTATTACTTTTAAGTTTTAATACTTATATAATTAAGTAACCTTTTCTACTAGTAGTAAGTTACTAGTAAATAAATCTAAAATTTTAACCTTTTAACTTAATTATATTAAAAATTATTTAAGATAATATCTTAAAGTAAGTTATAAAAAGCTAATATTATCTTTTTTAATAGTTTAAACCTATAGAAATTACTATACTAATATATATATTATACTTTAGATCTTATAATATAACTTTATCTTTATCTCTTAGTATTTTTTACTATAGAAAGTATATAGAACTAGAAGAAGAGGTTAATAACTATATTAATATTAATACTAATATTAATACTAATATTAACAATAATATTATAACTATAGTAATAGATATTATAGACCTAATAGAGTCTACTAATACCTTTATATCTTCTATATATTCTATACTTTTAGAAGACTTAGAAAAAGAAGAATATAAATAACTAGAAAAAGAAGAATAGTTTAGTATTAATACTACTAATATATTTAACCCTTATACTATAGTATATAATATTATTATAACTAATAAAGAACAACTTATATTAAATAGTGTTAAACTACTATTATTTAGAGTATATAATAATATTATACTAAATAAAGATAATTTTACTTATAAAGACTTTAAGGTATTATTCTATAACTTATATTCTATAGATACTATTATATAAGAATTTTACTAATTTATTTAGAACTTTATTTATAATACTATAGAGAGTAGTATTAACTATAGCTATAATAAGTAAAAAGAAGAAAATATAAATAATATACCTACTTATAATATTAATAAAAAAAGGATTACTATATTAATGCTATTTTATTAGAAGTATTTTATAGTAATAGACTAAGAAGTCTTAATATTAGAGATTAATATATATAGTAGTAACTAGTAAAGTTAGTAATATTATATATTATTTATATATATAACTTAAAGTCTATAGACTTCTAGAAAGCTTTAAGTATTTTACTTAGTAAAAGAAACTATTTAATAAAATATACTTTAATATAGTAGATCTAGTGTTAGTACTTTAAATATATCTCTAAATATCTTAGGGTTATACTTCTAAAGTTATAGTATAGTTAACTATATACTTCTAAAATATTAATATTAGTTTTTAATTTATATTACTTACATTAAAGTATAAATATATAGATTTATATTTATATTATATTTTCTATTTATATACTATATAATATATATATATATAATTTTATATTTCTAAAAGTTATAGTATAGTTAGGGTTAGGGTTAGGGTTAAGACTTTATTTTTAGGGTTAGTCTTTTTATCTAAGATTATTATACTATTTATTATTAGTTTATATTATATTTTTATATTCTATTTTATACTTTAGTTAGTAATATATACTATATACCTAATATAATAAACTATAGTATTTTAAAACTATTACTATTATATTTATAGTATTTATTTTTAATTTTATTACTTTTTTATAATTAATAATACTATATTTATTTTAAACTATTCTTTTAAGAAATAAAAAAGTATTTCCTTTTTATACTAGTTAACTAGTTATATTTCTTAAGAAAATACACTAGTTCTATATATAGTAAATATTAACCTATTTAAGTATAAGTTTTATATATTTTATATAATTAGTAAAAAAAAAAAATTTTTGTAATAAAATACAAATACAAATATATGTATTTGTATTTTTGTATTTCTTAGCAAAATACAAATATATATATTTGTATTTGTATTTATATTTTGTATTTGTATTTTGTATTTATATTATATTTTGTATTTTTCCTTAATACACTAATATATAGTAAGCAGCGCATTAAAGTAAGCGGTGTACCTTAAGAAAAGTAGGGTGTTTCTGGCTAGGTTGCACACAAAAACACAGTTAGGAAATTATTAAGGGGCCTTAACAATTTCCTAACTGTGTTTTTGCGTCTACCCAGGGATCCCATCGCCTACCCAAGGCCTACATCACCTGCCTACTTCAATCGCTTTAAGCTATCCTGCAACAATAAAATCTAATTTCCTCAATCTGATTTTCACCGCAGTAGGCCTACTGTAGTCTCTTCAAATATTAGAATGCTTATGCAAAGGCTCCTGTATATCTTCATTCAAAGACAAGAATAGAGAGTGAGAGTCATCTGACTGCAACTAACATTACCAAGGAGCTGGCCCATCTGGGCTTGGCTCAAGAAATTGAATTTCCCTTCACAATCTAATTAGGTAGTTTTCCTAGCTATATCCTTTGCGCAAGGTGGGAAACGCAGGTGCGGGCCCGACTTCGGTGTCCTAAACTCTCCGTCGTTTGTGGGCCCCGGAGTCGGACATTTAGGTGTTACTAGTCCGGGAAAAGTATATAGAGGTGTCCGTGGTACACCCTCCTCAAATGGATCATAACTTCATCATTCAAATACCAAGACTCAATCCTACCCAAATCACCCATCTGGATCGACAAAGAACCGTCATGACGACTGCGACTCACCCCTTACCCGGAGCCGGCGGCGCCTTGGACATTCAGACCTTGAGTCAATGGCCCGGGGCCGCGCTTGGCCTTGCCTTCGTTGTCCTTGCCCTGCTGATGCAGCGCTGGTTGACTAGCGACCCCTTAGCTAATGTGCCCGTCATGGGAAAGGGAGGAAAATGGGCCCGTAGGAAGGAGTTCTTCCTAGGCAAGGGCCCAGACTTCTACAAGGAAGGCTACAAGCAGGTTCGTGTGGTGCTGCCTAATAAAGACTATCTCTTGGATTCTAGCCTTTGACCTTACTAAATTTTTTTTTCTATAGTTCAAGGACAGTATCTTTCGTGTCACAGAGGATAAGGGTAACAGAAAACCAAAACAAGTCTTTGTTGTACAATTACATTGCACAGGCTGACAGTTCCCCCTACTAGATGACGATGTCGTCTACGTTCCCCCAAAGTACATGACTGAACTCGCAAAAGCTTCCAACAGTGGTTTCGACTTGGAAGAGTACTTGGACGAGGTGTGTAGCTTGCTTACTAACTCGCCCCAATGACACATTTTTTCTGTTGTTTTTGTCTCGATTTAAAATACTGACTTTACAAGCACTTTCAAGTCAAGTACACGAAATCTGAACACTTTCACGGCCACATGATCAATGCAGTCAAGACAAAGTTAACACCGTCTTTAAGTAAGAATTCAATTTGCAAAAAACTGGCTGCGCCCTTTTATCTTCTTTTTTACCCAACGCAGTCCCAATCGCTGACGCCCCTATGTCCCGCGAACAGGCCAGCTAAACCCAACCATCTTGGACGAGGTTAATGAGGCGATGCGCCTTGAACTGCCCCAGTCTGACAGATGGACTGAGATCAACATTTCCCCCAAGCTCTTCCGTGTTATCGCCATGATCTCTGGCCGGATCTTTGTTGGCCCGGAGCTCTGTCGTGACGAGAGATATCTCGACGCTGCTATCAACTATACGATTGACATCGGGACCGCCGCGTACGGCGTCACCCAGGTGCCCGAGTTTCTACGCCCATTTATAGCCCGCTGGTTACCAACAACAAAGAGTTTCCACCAGCGCATCGCCGATGCCGAGGCTGTCTTCCGCCCTTTGATTAGCGCCCGCAAGGAGGCCGCAAAAGAACCTAACTACCAGGCACCTAACGATCTACTGCAGTGGATGATTGACGGCAAGGGTAAGTACAGCAACCCCGACGTCGCCACCCTCACTAAGGGCCAGCTCGCGGCCACCTTTGCTGCTATCCATACCACTACCCTATCAGCACTTAACGCTTTGTACTGGCTCGCGGCAAAGCCTGAAATGGCAGTTATGCTACGTGATGACATCCAACAGGCGTTGTTAGAGTCTGGGGGGTTGTTTACAAGTTTAGCTTTGCAAAACATGGGGAAACTTGATAGCTTTCTAAAAGAGAGTATGAGAATGAACCCAATTAGTGCTGGTATGTACTTCTGATCCCTCGCCCTCTTTATTTTTCAGCTCCCTGGGCTACTGCTCATAATAACTAACCTTATCCCTACTTTACTCGCAGCGAGCGTCCAGCGCAAGACCACCAAGACTGTAAAGCTTCCTAACGGCCAGACCATACCCAAGGGCAGGTTCGTCGGAGTCTCGCTCGTTGGCCTTAACAGCGACCCAGACATCTTCCCGGACCCACACGTCTTCGACCCCCTCCGCTTCTACAAGCTCCGTGAGGCCAAGGACCCTCAGGCCCACCTTGTCAGCGTCAGCCCCACGAACCTGGCGTTTGGGTTTGGCAGGCACGCCTGCCCTGGCCGCTTCTTTGCTGCCAACGAGATCAAGATGATCGTGGCCAATCTGGTGTTGAACTACGACGTCTGCCTTCCGGATGGCGTAACAGAGAGGTACAAGAACCTGGTCCAAGGCCTGACTGTAAGTACACCCTTGGAAATAATTCCCTCCACTGAGAGGGAAAAGTCGCGAGGTGAATACGACACCTAACGTTAACACCTATTAGTTTATACCAGACCCCGAAAAAACTATTATGATGAGAAAGGTATAGTGTAAATTGGCTAGAAGCCTAGTATATACACTACCTATATAGAGTAGCTACTGTTTTCCTCCTGTGAAGCTAGTATAGCTGTAGATAGCTTATACTAAATGTATGTTGAAGTGCGTGGATACGGCGGTCAATTGCAACAATATCCCTGGTCAATTGAGCGTATATTGATCGTCTAACTATTGGCGAATTCGCCGTGATTACTGCCTTGAATTTGTGGCCTTTTAACCAATGCATTTGTCATCCAAATCGCCACTTTTAGGTAGGGAAATCCATCCAGCCAATGACAGCAACATTTGACCCACTTTTGCTTGTGGCTAATTGCCACACTTTGATAATGTGACCCTTAGGGTGTAGTCAGCCGCTGCTTATAAGGAGTAATTAGTGGCCAAGGGGTATTTCTAGTGTATATAACCTCTCTAGAGGGGTATCTAAGCCTAGATGCTTACTATAGCTAGAAAGTTAAATTTATATAATATATTTTTGTAAATCTATTATAACTTACTACTAAAAGAGAAAAGGCGTTATTTAAAATTGGCTTTTTTACTATTAATCTTAGTATTATAAATCTATAGCTAGTGTAATTACTGTAGTGTATAAAAAATGTATTTATATTTTAAAATATATTTTTTGTTAAAGAATTAGACTTAATCTATATATATACTTATTAAAGTTTTTTCTAAGTGCCTATTTTACTTTTAAGACCTTTAAGCTCTAGATTTATAAGCTAGTAACTTTAAATATTTTTCTTAGATTTAAATAAATATTAAAGAAAAAATATATTTTTATATTTTTAAAAAAATACAAAATATAAAATACAGATAGTGTATATTTAATAAAAGAATTAATCTCTTAGTAACCCTAACCCTAACTTTAATAAGTTCTATATTTAATTAAAGTAGATTTTATATTTAGTATTATTATAATTTTATTATATTTTTTAGTGTAACCTTAAGCTCTATAACTATAGTATACTCTCTAAAGCCCTTAATAAAAATATATTTTAAATATATTTTCCCTTAATACACTAGTAATTAGTAGTTAGTTTACCTAGATAATTAAAGTAATACTAAGTAAAATTAAGGTTAAAGTTATAATAGACTAGTTAAGTAAGTAATAAGCTAGTTATAGACTATAGTTACTTTAGTTATATAATAAGTATAAAGCTATAGTAGTATAAGTAATAAAAAGTCTTTTTTAGCTATTAATTACTTTTTATAAGTAATAGCTAACTATAACTTTAGAGTATACTTAACTACTAGTTATAATTAGTAATTAGTAGCTAAAAAAGACTTTTTATTACTTATACTACTTTAATATTATACTTATTATACTACTAAAGTAAGTTAGCTTATAGTTAGCTTACTACTTACTTAACTAGTCTTTAGTAACTTTAACCTTAATTTTACTTAGTATTACTTTAATTATCTATATAAACTAAATACTAATTATAGAGAATATACTAAATAGTAGCTTATATAAATATAAAAGTATAGTAATTACTATTTTACCTATATAATAACTTTATTATTTATTATTTCTAAAGTTATATTAAGATTACTTAGTCTTAGGTAGGACCTAGGCTAAGTTATCTTTATTAGTATTATAGTATCTTTATTAGCTTAGCTATAAATATAAATAATTTAGTTTAGAATTAGAAAAAAACCTATATTCTAAAATAATATTTTTAGAAATTAGTAAAGATACTAGATATATATTTTATAAAAATAAAATAAAGGCGTTTTTATATAAACAGTATAAAGACATCTTTATAAAAATAGAATAAAGGTACTGTTATATAAATAAAATAAAGGCGTTTTTATATAAATAGAATAACTAAGAGGTACCTTTTATAGGCGCCCTAGACAGTATATAAGTAAAAGTAAGTCTAACCTCCTAAGTAAAAGTAAAGCTAACCTTTTAACTATAATACCCTTATTACCTAGGCTTTAGTAATACTTTTTTTAAGCTATATTAAAATAAAAATAAAAATAACTTTATTTTTTACACTAAGTAGGCTATAAAAGTAAATATATAATAAAGTAAATAAGGATTAATTTATATAGTAGGCTTTATAAACCTTATAGTCTCTATTAATATTTTATTTATAGTCTTTATTTCTAATTTTACCTTTAGTCTCTTTTTTAAGCGTATTTTTAATCTTTTTTTAATATATTCTTATTTTTTATTTTATTTTAGAACTTTATCAAAGGGTACTTATATTTTAATATAAAGATATCCTTTTATATAGGTACCCTTAATATATACCTCTTATTAGTCTAAAAAAACTATTAGTAACACTAAGAGATAAGTTAATATAGTTAACTATATATACTAGTAGTAATTAATAAATAATTAAGGTAACTATAGTTCTTTATATATATAAAGAAAAGAATAATAATTATTATAGGTTAGCTAGTTAAATAACTTACTTATTATCTATAAATCCTTAGAGAATCTATAGCTAAGTATCTAAGGATTTACTAGTAATAAGTTATTAAGGTTAACCTAATAACTCTTATATTTATCTATAATAGTTAATATTATAACACTAGTAACTTTCTATAGTGCTAGAATTCCCCTAATAATTTATATCTTAAAGAATAAATAGAATATATAATAAAAATAAAACACTAAAAATTATTTAATACTTTTTACTTATATAGTTTATTATATTTAAAAAATCTATTTATTTATCTATATCTTTAACTACCTATTACTAACTAGCTTCTTTAATATATTATTTAGTAATAAGTTTATAAATCTATCTACTAAGTTATTACTACTATAAATCTACTATATCTTATAAATCTTATAGTACTTATATAACTAGTAACAAGCTATAATATCTATTATAAGTTACTTCTTGTTTTTAGTACTAAGCTTTATAAAGTACTTATAAAGTAAATATAAATTAGTATAAAGTATTATAGGTATTTATAGTAGCTTAAGGTAGTTAGTAATTATTATAAAAATAACACTAATTATATAGGTAATATTAGTACTAGTAACTATCTTATAGACCTTAGAGGTAAGTATACTATATATAACTTTTTTATACGTTATTAAGCTAAAGTAAATAATATTACTAGTTAACTTGAAGCTTTTACTATTAATAGTAAGTTACTTAATAATTTATTTATTAGTAAGAACTATAATAAAGCTAAGTTAAAAAGTAAAGTTATAGCTATTAATAAATAAGCTATTAATAAATATAAAGAGTTTACTAGTTATAAAGTTAATTAGTAAAAATTATAGGCTATAGTTAAGGTTATTAGTTTACTATTTAATTTAGTAGTTTAAAGCCTTAATCTTTTTTACTATAGGTAATTAGTATTAGGTAGTAACTAAATAGTTAAAGTAAGCCTAGAAGAAATAGTTATTAACTAGACTAACCTACTTTTACTAGACTAACCTCCCTTCTCTTTTTCCCTCTCCTTAACCCTAATAACACTAATAATACTAAGCTATATACATATATATACGCCTACTTACCTATAGCTATTCCTTTTTATAGCTATAAGGATTTAAAAGCTAGATCCTTATAGCTATAAAAAGGAGGACTATCTTATCTTATCTAAATCCTTATAGCTATAAAAAGGAGGTCCTTAACTAATCTTATTCTAGACTATCTAAATCCTTATAGCTATAAAAAAGAGGTCTTTAACTTATCTTATCTTAGACTATCTAGATCCTTATAGCTATAAAAAAGGCCTTTTATCTTAGACTATTATAGGCTATCTCGATCCTTATAGCTATAAAAAGGACTCTTTATCTTAGGGAATCTAAATCCTTATAGCTATAAAAAAGGACCTCCTTATCTTATCTAAATCCTTATAGCTATAAAAAAGACCTTCTTATCCTAGACTATCCTAGACTATCCTAATCCTTATAGCTAGAAAAAGGACCTCTTATTTTATTTTATTTTATCTTATTTTAACCTTTATAGTTATTAGAAAGGTATAAGGTAGAAGGGACCTAAGTAGTATAGTAATCTAGAGAGAAATACTAATAACCCCTAAGGTAACATAAGATACTCCTTTAATTAGTTAAAGACTTACTGTTATAAGACAAGTGCCTTATATAGTAGATAAACAAGTAGGTTATAGGATTACCCTATTAGTATATATCTAGGTATATACCTAGAGGTATATATCCTATTACCTATTACCTCTTAGACAAAAAAGTAACCTTAATAGATAACCTACACTTATACCTAGCTCTTGTCCTATATTATTTACTTAGCTCCTTATTATTACTTACCTTATTTTACTACTTTACTATTATATTTTACTTTTGTACTATATTACTTTATATTACTTATTATAGCCTTACTTCTTTTATTAGATCTATAATAGCTAGTAAAAAGGCTATATTAAGTAGTAGTATAACTACCTTAATCTATATCTTTAAAATTTCTCTTTACTAAAATATAGTAAAAATACTCTTTTACCTTAATAAGAATTAGCTTATAAATCTTTTTAATCTTATATTCTTTAGAGTATTATAAATAAAATTATACTTCTCTCTTACTTATTAGCTACTAATATTATAGCCTAGTAGGTAATTATTAACCTTATTACCTAGTATCTTTAACAAGGGTTTTCTTACCTAATTCCTAAGTATATCTTCTTGTCTAATATATATCTAAATGCTTCTTTTTAAGAGCTTCTAGATAAGGTACCTTATAGCCTAAAAAACCTACTTTTTGATTTTTTAGAGCTTCTAGAAGATACTAGTCCTCTTAAAGTATCTTAGTCTTTAACTCCTCTTTCTCCTTTAACCTAGCTACCCTAAGAGCTTCCTATTACCTCTTCTCTAACTACTAAGTCTATAAGTTATTTATATATCTATAAATATATATATATATATATATATTAAGATATAATTATAGGGAATTTCTAAGAAGTCTTCTTGTAATTATTATAAGACCTCTTTTAGGTCTAAGATGTCTTTTGCTATATATAAGCAGTGGTTTAAGCAAAATAGAGGCTATTATATTAGAAGTTAAAGATATATAGTAAATAGTTAGCTTAATACTATTTTCTTTATCTTATTCTAAGATTTCTTTTAATTTATTACTAGTATTTCTTATAAGTAAAATTTTAATATAAGTAAAGTATATAATA